CGTTTGAACCTTAAAGGATAATTTCGTCTCGTCTACGAAGCTAGTTGTCGGGCTCAATGTGTTAAATACGTAGACAAATCCTGTCGTCATCTAATCGAAATCTTTGTACGTAAATCTAAGTGCAATCTGGAAAGTTCTGGTGAAACATCTATATGAAGATAAACGCTTTGTATCGCAGTCAAGAATAACAGAATTTACGATTTACGATTGGTTTATTTGTTTCTTTGCAAAAATGTACGACATCACACTTTTGGGTTATGAGGTCATTTTCTACGTATTTAACACATTGAGCCCGACAACTAGCTTCGTAGACGAGACCAGATTTTAAACAGATGAGAACTTTGTCTTTGTTACTGAAACCGAACTAGAATGCTAAACAATTCTAACTTTTTTTCTAACGCAATTCGAAATAGTTCAAATACAGTTGTAAATTACCGAAAAACCTCTAAAAAAGTGCAACTCCATATCGGAAAATCAACACAATATGGCGCTTTCAGCTTCAAAAAGATTAGTGCCGTGTTAATCAAGACGAAATTATCCTTTAAGGTTCAAACGCTGTCAGTTCGTAGTGTAGGATGAGCCGAACATTTTTTGTTTCAGGAGTTCATGCTAATTCCGAAGTTGAGGTAGCGAAAAGACTTGTTATTTCGAAAGTCCCAGCGTTTCTCTTACATGTCAATGGATCCGTTCTTATTGGGAGCAAAATTTCGCTTGCCGTTCTTAATAAGTACAGTGTACCTATTAAGAACGGATATAGGTCGTTTTCAATAATTAATATCTGCATAAGAGAACAAAAGTTAGCTCTGAACCTTTACAGCTAAATAGAGCCAAGTGAGTAGAGCACAGTTTGTTCCAAAAGTTTTTTCCCATCGAGTATTCTGGGTACAAAAATCGAACGTTTTTCCAATTTGTCCGTTTCTGCCATGTATTTGTATGGGCCGTTCTTGTTAGGAGCATATATTTTGCTTGTCGTTCTTATTAGGAAATGTGTACTTATTAAGAACGGAACGACCTAAAGTCATTCTACCGGTCATAACTTGGTCAATTTTAGTGCAAACTAATTAATTCTTTTACTATTCGATTCAGGAGACTTTTCTCTAATCAGATATGTAAAAAAGTATAGAACTTTCTTCGAAACTCATTATAAAGTAATCGAAATAAGTCAATGAAGAAAAAATCCGTTCTTATTAGGAACATTTACTCTACAAACATTAGAGCTGCGACAAATAGCGACTTTTTTTTCTTTTCTTTTCTTATTCACGTTAAATATGGTATGTGCTCACGTTGCAATGTACGGTACACATATAACATACATGAGAGCACTAGCAAATAAGGAGATATCTCTTTTCGCACATGCATATCTTTCTGTTCTCTTTCGTTTCAATCGACGCACTGAGACAAAAATGTTTGCACACGAGATATCGTATGTGAAAAGAGATATCTCCTTATTTGCCAGTGCTCCAATAAGACTTGTCTGTGTAGAGTGATGTTACGTTTCTTTCTTTTCCTTAGTGTGTATGAAAGTTATAGGCTACATGCAGATAAGACACATGCTGACCTTCTTCTCTTTTTTCCATATATCACGTTTATATTGACGAAAAAAACGTATACATCACGTATATAGAAACGTGGCATCACATCACAGACAACAATCTTAACGTATATTATATGTGTACCGTACATTGCAAAGTGAGCACACATTATATATAACGTGAATAAGAAAAGAAAATCGCTATTTGTCGTACCTCTATTGTGATTTTTGTCGACTGTATACGTCGAAATTACTCATGACTGATAGTCAAAATATACCTATAAAAGTTCATAAACTGTTCTTTCAAACATTTTCTTCATCTCACGATCTGATCAGTCATTTTATAATTCATCAAACCGCATAACAAGTATGAAAGTTATTGGTGCTGGTTTTGGTCGAACGGGTACATTAAGTTTAAAAGTTGCTCTTGATCAACTCGGTTTTCCATGTTATCATTTTTTTGAAATTTTTTCTACTCATCCATCACATGCCAAATTATGGATAAAAGCGTACAAGAACGGTACTTTATCAGATTGGAATGAAATTTTACAGGATTATGAAGCTACCACCGATTGGCCCGCAGCTTATTTTTATTTACAATTGATGAAACAATTTCCAGAAGCCAAAGTAATATTAACTGTACGTGATGGAGAAAAATGGTATAAAAGTATAGAGAATACCGTTATTCGAATGCAAAAAGCTTTTCCTGGTCAATTTTTGTCTCGTTTGAAATATTATTCAATTTGGAAAATGGACCAGTTAATTGTACATCAAGGTGAATTTAATAATTTAATAGAAGATAAAGAGAAAACTATTCAAGTTTTCAATTCACATATTGAAAATGTAATTAAAAACGTTCCAAAAGATCGTCTGTTAGTATATCGTATTGAAGAAGGATGGAAACCATTATGTGAATTTTTGAATGTACCTATTCCAAAAACACTATTTCCTCATTTAAATGATACATTAACGTTTCAACAACGAATTTATGAAGCAAACAAAATTGCATGGATTTATATTATAGTTACCTTATCTATTATATTCGTCTTGTTTGCTTGGTGGTTAATTTGATAATGCTACACTTTTTCTCTCTAAAACGTGTTTCAAAATAAATCGATCAGCTACTTTGTATTTGGATTATGTCTCGGTCAAATTTTATCCGATAATCGATTTTCTTTAAAAAGATTCGTAAGAAAATTTTTTTTGAAAAGTCTTGCGATTCGTCTGATAAAAATGCGTGGTTTTACATTTTCTATGTGAGATCATGAAGATAAAATTTGAGAAGAAAAGCACAAGATTATTTCCTTTTTACGAGAGATTAAGTTTTAAGTTTTCTTAGCGAGTTCTTCATATTTCTAAAATAACTCTTTCCAGATCAAGAAAATAGACAGCCATATTTTTATTTTAAGAGGAGGGACGTCCAGCCCTCAGTATATGTCCTCAAACCATGTCAGTTTAACTCTTTGACTCCCGACTTTTTTTTTATGAAACTTATGTTTGACAAAACATAGTGCTAAGTGACTAAGTAGTATTCAGGGGCTGCTGATTAAGTTATAACAAAAAACTGTGTTTTCCTATGAGTATGCGTGTATTCAGTTTATTGTTGATACACATAGTTTTGATGATACAAAGAAAAACATTTCTTCACACAGAGACAAACACCACAAAAATACATATTATATTCGTTCTTTTTTCTTTTTCTTTTGTACTGTAATAAGCGCATCTACGATAAGTTGAAATAACATCTGGTAAATGAGCTAACAATCGTACTTTTTCAGAATCTTTCGAATTACTACTGCTTTTCTCGATGCGGATCTTCTTCTGATTACTCCTTGCCAAAGGTCTTCCTATTCGTTTTCTACTACAATAGTTACCTGTTAGTGCGGTGCTAATATATGATATATATTTTACTGTACTAATATTACTACTACTAGAAAAATCTTTATAATAGATAAATGAGTTCACTACTGACATTCCAAGAAAATGAAAAAGTATTCTCATCCAGTTTCTTTTCGACTTTCGATCAATTGTATAATACTTTATTTTTTGATCTAATAGATCTACTCCTCCCATGTATTTATTGTATTCAACAATTGCTAACGGAGAAGAAATTTGTTGTCTACTACCATCTTTACGTCATCGAGTAACTTCACTTGATTCTTCAGGATCAAAGTAATTTGATGCGACTGGAACTTCTTTCTTGTCCATCCATTTTATCACAGAAATTCCATTTACTGATAGGTATCGAAAATTTGCTCTCTCTAATGCTTCACCTTTTTTCTATTCAATTGGGAAGTATTTTCTATCGGATCGAATTGTACCGGTAGCTGATATCTTTTTTTTCCTCAGCTTGTAAAGTAATACAAAGGAGGTAAAATAACTATCAAAAAATAATTGACGATTCTTCAAATTTATTCCATCTATTAATGATAAAACTACATGCTCTCCTAATGACAAATATCGTTCTGTAGTTTTTCCTGTATAAATTTATCACGAAAATAACCAATAGCACAAGTGTTTCCAGATATAAAATATAGATTATTTAGTAAAACCTCGTGAAATCAAAGAAACACGGCACATTGCGTTATTAGATTCATAAAAATATCTATGCAATACTTCAAAAATGTATCCTAGCTACGAATAAAGGATGAAAATATTCCTTCTAAATCATGAAAACCTCCAATAGTTTCGAAATTTTTTGAAAAATATAAATTTTCACTAGGTGGGAAATATATATCCCACCGGGAGTGAAAGGGTTGAGAACACCTGAGAGAACACCTGATTACATATATCTTTACGTTCGCTCGATAAACTGGTGACTATTCGCAGAGTTATTAATTAATTAAGTTGCAATTTTAATTAAAATTTAAAATCCTAGTCATCGTTTTAAAAAACTCGTAGCTCAAACAAAAATAATCGTAGAAAAGTTATTCATGCATTACTTGACAGCTAATGGTCTCTTATTATGATCTGATGTAAAAGGTTTGAAAAAATGTTTGTTTGAGACAATAATTTATAATTAATCATACGAATGAATACTAATTAATATCACTCTGGTGCATATACTTTTGTTTGCAAATTAACGATTTACCGGAAACAATAAAGTAATACGAAATTCGACAGAGATTTCCAAGCACTACAAACTCCTGCATTACCCTTTTCAATAATATTACCGACAAGCAGTTATTTGTATTCGGTTTTGTGCCAACGGGGTTTATGGATTCCTTAACGGAGCGGCCACGAATGTTTTTGGAATAACTCAAGAACGAGAGGAGACAGAGAGTTCGCGTTTTCAGTATTTTGTAGAGAAGACTTGGCACTAAAAATCTCAGTTTTTCAGGTGGTATACCTGATGGATGGAAAACGATGAGGTTGCCAGATTCTGAATCTGCGGTGAATTTTTAATTTCAACATAATGACTAGATAGCTCAAAGTGTTCTCTACAATTGTACGCAAGGCTGACCTCTCTATCTGTTGTGGCTCTCAAATGCCAGGCATTTTCCTGAGTCACCCGTAATTGGTTATCCATTTCGTCAGGTAAATGCCTGGCATTTGAGAGCCACAACAGATAGAGAGGTCAGCCTTGCGTACAATTGTAGAGAACACTTTGGTCTATCCAGCCACCATGTTATGATCCCTCAAATATAAGTTCAAGATTTTTCAGAGAGAAAACTTTAAAATACAGAAGAAAGAAAGATATGTGGATTTGTTCCTCAACGTTTGGTGGTTCGTATGGCATAGAAATATTGCTTTCATATCTTATCAGAAAAAACTAGATAGATTTATAAAATGACTGAAGAGCAACTGAAAGGTTCTAATTCGGATCCAAAAATAATAACCATGTTATATTTGAACAAGATCAAAAATAAGTTTCTAGACTCAGTTTCACATGCTGAGTCTGAAAAAAATGGTTTGAACATTTAAAAAAGCGAGAAACAAAGTCATGAACTATTCTTCAAAACCTAGCGTCTTTTGTTGAAAAAACGCTAGGTTTTGAAGAATAGTTCATGACTTTGTTTCTCGCTT